TTGTAAAATTAATTGATCGAGTTATTTTTTTAAGAGATAAAATGTGGAAGGAAAAAAGACCAAAATGAAGTAGATGATGTAGAATAAAATAAAGTATGTCTGGGAGATATTGTGGTTTTTACTTGATGTTTAGAAGAATTAAGATGAAAATATTCTTCAACCAGMTGCCTTTGTGAGCTGCCCTTAGATAAGTAAACAAAAAGAGAAATTAATGCAACAAAATTCTGGACCTTCAGCCTCAAGAACCCAGTTTAAGTTTGTTCTGTTGGCCAGCAGGTAGCAGCAGAGATTAAATATCTGCAATGAACAGATTTAAGAGCCAGAAATCATATTATGCTTCTGTTACGAGTAAAACATCTGTATGATTCATGATGTACATTTATGGACTAGATGTTAAACTTTTGCAATAAAAATAAAAAGATTTTCATTTGATTTTATGTTTTGGGACGTGCCGGCAAAACGAATCAGAGGATTATTTTTTAATGAGTTATAAGGAAAATAGTCAATTTTAGAGGAAAATGAAAGAAACTTGAATTTAAAGATATTTTAGTAAGAATATATGCTCTTTTAGTTGCTGGGGTTCACACAATTAGCACGAAAGTAAGTTTCACTAATAACTTCTATTTTATTTAACCAGACAAAACCATCTGAGATCAATATGTAAATTGCTTGCGGGGGGGTTATCCACACAGCAGAGGGAAAGTTAAACTTTTCTGCACTCCTAGACACTCCAAGTACACAACAAAATGTGTTGAACAGCTAAAAAAAGTGGATTTTGAATGCTATATCTCCATTAATGTTAYGGTAAAAGAAGTCTTAGAAAATTCAATGAGCTGCATTCAAAGACTCCTCAGGTCACTCTCAGCTGGTCTTTGAGAAAWAAAAGTCAAAATGTACCACATTAACTGCTGAGTAATAAAAACTGGTTCCACCTGGCCTCCGCAGTCACGCTTCTCCAGTTTGCTTGTCCTATAAAGCAGCTCTTCTATTGGTCCCGTTTAACCCAGGCCAACAGAGGTTCAATTTAAATGTCAATTAGTCGTCTGACAGGAGGTTAACGAGAAACTGTTCTGCTGATTACTTTACCATGGCTGCTTCACAGACGGCATCAATTAAACTTTTGTTTTTAAAAATCCTACATGATAAATTACTAAAGACATATTTTAGGTAGATGTTTTGACAAAACCTGCACACCCCAGACTCTTTAAAATCAATCTTTACTGGACGTTTTTTAAATCAGAATCACGCTTTTTTTTCTCCTTCGTGTATTGTCAACAAAAACATAAAAGTATGGAAGTGAGAGAAGGTTTATTGGGAGTTTGGTCATAACTGTTGGTACCCCTCTGTTAATGGCCCACAATGGTCAATGAAATAACTAAACAATAAAAAATAAAAAAAACGTGCTGAAAATAAACCAGTGAAAATCATCCATTGCTTCTCAACAGATTTATTTTAAATATCAAACTAATAAAATAGACCAGGACAAAAATGATGGTACGTCTGGAAAATGTTGAAAACTTAGGTGTGTCATCTAATTAGCCTCACGTGTCGTCAACCTTGTAATCAGTCTATTTACAGGGTGACAAGCACTGAACATGGACCACAATCAGTGATGGACAGAGTTGTCTCAGGAGATTAGAAAGAAAATTATAGACAAACATGTTAGAGGTAAAGGTTATAAGACCAGCTTGAAGCTACTGTAGAGCTAACGAGCCGCAAATCTGCAGGAACAGATGAGACTAGGGGCTGATTTGAAGCTGTGCAGCTACGATGACATCTCAAGACTATCAAGGMATTCCAGAGAGAAATGTGCTGCCCMGTTTTAGAAAGCTTGATCTCGGTCCACCAACAGGATAATGGTCCAAAACACACGACTAAAAACACCGAAGGATGGATCAGAACCAAACATTGGACTGTTCTGAAGTGTCTTTCTGAGCCCTGATCTAAATCTACAGCGGGTAAAATAAGTATTGAACACGTCACCATTTTTCTCAGTAAATATACTACTAGAGGCGCTAATGACATGAAATTATCACCAGATGTTGGTAACAACCCAAGTGATCCATACATACAAAGAAATCAAACCATAAACGTCCAGAAATGAAGTTATTTGTAATAATGTGGAATGGCACAGGGAAAAAGTATTGAACACACTTACTGAAATTTATCTAATACTTTGTACAAAAGCC